TTAAAATATACAAAATGGCCAAGTGTGGTGGTGCATACCTTTAATCGCAGCATTTGAGAGGCAGAGGCAGGTGGATCTCTGTGAGTTCGAGGCCAGCCTGGTCTACATAGTTCCATGTCAGCTGGGGCTACAGGGAGACCCTGTCTCAAAAAGACCAAAAAAAATAATAATCATAAATAATAAAAATAAATAAAATGAAATATACAAAGTAATGCTGATACATATTACTTTCAGGACCAATAATTTAATAATTGTGGCATTTCCACATATAGAACAAAAATGACTTACAATTTTTCCTTAAAACATTGCTTTAGCCATTGTTTTGCTCAACTGGTTCCAAATTATCAAATCAATAAGGTATAGAAAGAACTTTAATCTCAATTTTACTTCCAATTCAAGGCAAGTAAGAATAAAGCTAATAAGTTATGATAATTTCTTAACTGCTGAAATGTCAAAAACAAGGTGGCAAGACTTGGCTTTTTATATCCTCAATGAAACCTAAAATATACGTATCTATGTAACAATAACAAAGTGGTCACAAAATTGAGGGAGAAGGGAGGACTTGGGTGGAGTTGGAAGGAGGAGAAGAAAGGATGAAAAGGCTGTAAATACAGTACTCATATATGAAACAAACGCTCAAGAGAAATTCCTAAACAGAAAAAAAAGTATACACATTACTTAGGGTTATACGTACAACACTAAAGTTATGCACATGGTCAAGCAGGTTCGTAAGGTCCTGATTCAAGTTCTACTAATACTATGAATTTAGGAATTAGAATTAGCAGAATAAAATCAAAGTGATTTAACTGCATTATTACAGATATACAACTTTTTAACTTCATCAAGGAAGCAAAGGCAAAAATGAATTTATAATATTCCAAGCATGTATTTTTTTTACAAAAAACAATGAACTATGACACACTAGATTATGTAATAAGAAGTTTCCAAGGATCCAGAAATATAAGAGAAAATGAATGTCAAGAAGTCATTACTACTACTGAGATGTTTTAAATGCAAAGTGTGTCACGTGAACTATTTCTGCAGACACAGTCAGGACCATCAGTCGACTGGATTGTTAGCTGCAGTAACAGCCCATCACTCTTCACAAAGCCCGACAACAGATAGATAAAATAGGAAACACTGGAACCAATTAGCATTTGGTAGCTACGATCCTAATTGTTTGGAATCAAAATGATAATTTCTAATTTCCATTGTGAAAATATGAAACAACACTCTATTGTCAATATTCATGATTTACTAAGTGTGCATTTATTCGCAACAAAAATTTTTACAGAATACTTAAATGCAAGATATCAGTCATTCAGCATGCTTATAAGTTTTTCTTTATTTTAACAAGAGGCCACATAAGATATTAGGGGCACAATGACCTACTTCCTCATTAACACTAAAAGTGAATGTCCTGTTATGCACATGCACATACAAAAGCAAAAAAATTCTTCAACAGACTCTGAGTCTTCCAAATATGGTGTGTGTGATTAACAGCTAAGAAGAAATTTAACTGAAGCTGTCTGCTGGAGATCCATTAAAACCCAGCACAGGAAGAGGCCTGGGTGAAAGAACTGGATGTGCAAATCTGTGCAAGAAGGTAGCCAAATTTTTGGCAACTTCCCTCATAGCTTTGGATTTGTTGTCAAACGGTACTTTTTTTTTTTTCCAGTTGTAAAGTTACATCTAAAGAAGATTAGTTGAGGACTGGTAACATAGGTTCGTGGTAGAGTGTTTGCCTAGCATGTGTGAGGCCCTGGGTTCAATTCCCAGCACTTAAAAAAAAATATATATTAGTTGAGATGGAGAACCTGCCTGGTTTTTAAAATGAATACTTTTGAAGTTTGTCAAATAATACAAACAAAAATTTGCACAAAATTTATATGTTCCATAAAAGCATCTGATGTAGTCCCCAAAATCAGTGTCTTAGAAAAGTTAAGTTTTGCACTTTGTTCTACATTTGTCCTTAATGTTTATCATTATAAAATTTTTCCTGCAAAAACATTATTTACTTTATCATTGTAGTCTCTGAAGGAAATGTTATTCAAAGAAAATTATTATTTTCAACATGCTCTGTGAATACAGATTTCAACATTTGCTTGTTAGAAATAAACTACATGCTGGGCGTGGTAGTGCACGCCTTTAATCCCAGTGCTCGGGAGGCAGAGGCAGGTGGAGCTCTGTGAGTTCAAGGTCAGCCTGGTCTACATAGTGAGTTCCAGGACAGCTGGGGCTACAGGGAGACCCTATCTCAAAGACAAAAAAATAATAAAGAAATAAATAAACTACTTAACTCCTTTACAAAGAATTTAATAAGCATATTTCATGCTAGTCACTCTGTCCTGACCTGAGCTCCTCCAATGCCATCAGTGCTATACATTTGAGCGGTATGTTCAAAAATGAAAACATGGCATTTTTCCTTCCATAGTTTGCAATTCAACATGGGTAGCTGAAACAAACATACACATCACAAGGGAAAACTATTTTATATCGAGCTCTAATTGTGCAGCAATACAAAATAATGTTGCTGAGCATTTTGTAGGAAATGACTATAATTTTCATAGATAAATAGTAATGACAGGCTTTACACAAAATTCACCGACTCTTCAAAACCCCATGGAATTCACTGAGGAAGTTTTACTATTTTTACTGTTGAAGAAGAATCTGAAGTTAGAAAGGCACATGATTGGGTCAAATTTACACAGGAAGCAATTAGGCCAAGATTTGAATCGAATCACATCAGACTGTCACTACATGTACAATTTTCAAGTCCTTTTCATACACAGTCATCTACTTTGGTCATGATGGCATCCCTATGAGACAGAGTGACAGCCAAGAACCACCAGGAACCTAGCACATGACAGGCACTAATCGACACTATCTGAATCCAAGCATCATCACAGAAAACCAAAACCATGTAAGGAAAGGATCTATTTAACCCCATTTTACAGATTTAAAAAACAAAAACAAAAACTGAGACTCAGATAAAAATAGGTAAATGGGCTGGGCGTGGTGGCACACGCCTTTAATTCCAGCACTTGGGAGGCAGAAGCAGGCGGATCTCTGTGAGTTCAAGGGCAGCCTGGTCTACATAGTGAGTTCCAGGACAGCTGGGGCTACAGGGAGACCCTGTCTCAAAAAGACCAAAAAAAAAAGAAAGAAAAGAAAAAAAAGGGTAAATGTCCCAGGGAACACAGACATGGCTAGTAGGTTTGGGAATGAGAACTAAAGTCCAGTGAGCAGAGTTCAGGGCTGACAATGTTCTCAAGAAAGTAACATAAAGCGGATGAAATCTGCCCAAAGTCAGAAGGGAAAAAAGAAAGTAAGCAAGCAAAGGAAGATGAGAAGAATCTCTTATCAACACCTTAGTAATTTTTCTGAGTATAGTGGGATAATTCGAATTCTTATATCAAGAAGGTGATTTCTAGAGTAGGTGAGGGATGCTGGTAGAATGTCAGAGAGATTTCCAACAGTGCATGAGGCTGATTAGGCTAGAGGGCACTCCTGTCCCCCAGAAGAGGGAATGTGGGCATTGAGCAGAGTCCAGCACCTTTTTGGTTCAGATGTGGGCACTATGAATGGGGTGGATTAAAAATGAGAACTGTGATAAGAAAGCTAGTAAGTGAATGAAGCGCCAGTCGGGTTTGGGAGAAAACATAAAGCCACTAAAAGATTTGGAAAAAGTGTCTTAATGCTCCAGCAAAGTGACATCCCAGTACTGCCAGGTACCTAACACACAGGAAGAAATCATACAATCATTAAAAAAGTCTGACTGATTTCATTTGAAGTTCCTTCCCTTTTTCCCCCTAAAATGAAATTACAGTTTAGCAACCCTTATTCATTGCTAAAACCTTACAATGGAGACTAAAGGGAGAATACTTAACCTGTGTCTCATTAATTTTCATACCATGATCCCAAGGTGCTAATGGTTTCTTTAGCATATAAACCATCCTCAAAACAGTATTGAGTCAGATGAAGAAAATTACGACAACATTCCATTCAAGCACACAAGCTTAAATGCCAGCCTAAACCTAAGGAACAAGTCAAAAACAGAATTTGTAAATCCAAAAACTTAGGCAGAGCAGAGGACAAAAGCAATTACCAAGACACTCCTAAGAAGCAGGCTGTAAACTACTCTGTGAGGAAGCCAACCCTGGTGGAATTTCCTCTCCTTACTTAACACAAGCCAGGTCACTGAGATGAGCTTGCATTATGAAATTCTGTTCATTCTGATTTCAGTTTAATTTCATCAAACTACAAAATCCCAGAGGAATACCTCAGGCGAGTGCCCACATGGCAATGCCTAGTGTTTCAGAACAGTCACTTTTGAAAAATAAAAAATGAATTCGAAAAATAAAAAAGAATGTAGAGAGATTCTGTCAAGTTTCCTTTTTTCCTATATCCAACATCTATGTCATAAGTATGAACTACCTCTGTGGCTATGAACTCATATGTAAAATATACTACATGATCTGGTAGAAATTTTAATTTATTAGACCCAAATAAAGCCCTAACCTGCACACATCAAATTCAAGCTAGCTTCCATTAAAGTTAAATATACCTTGATGAAGTTAAATTCAACTGTAACTACAATTGAAATATACATTCAACTGAGTTATGACCCATTTTTCATCTAAAAAGTGAAAGGAAACTATGGCAGTTAGGAGACTTATAGTCTTCCATTCTAGAATCCTTCTAAAAGTTGCTTTACACTAGAGTTGAAAGCAAAATGCACTTTATGACATTTATTTGCTTGTACAATAGTTATGTGACTGCTCGGGAGACAGAAGGAATTCTCTTAATTTATTAACAAGTTATATATTTCATTTACTTTTAATGTATACAGACCAAGAGGCATTCAAAAAGGAAAAATATCTATATGCAATACGATACCTAAATTCAATTCAATTATAATTATATATTTACTTAAAAGAGACCAACACTCAACAGGACAAATACAAAATTCACATATATATGTGTTTTAAAATACCCACCCCTAGCAGAAAGCTTTTTGGTGTTGATAATTTTGGCAGCATACTCTTGTCCAGTAGGGATTTTCATACATCTTCTCACCACTGAGAATGCCCCCCTGGAAACCAATAATTAGCAAGTCATCAGTATAATCAGATCTAGTATTAGCTTGGAAATTTACAAACTTGAGCATTCTTACTGGTTTTTTAGAGGTCTGTCACCTACTAGTGCAATAAAGCAATCTATCTAGAAAATGAGCAATTCTTCTGGCAACCCAGACCTTTTCTAATATTGAGAATAAAAGTACTTTGTGATTAACTGGAAACACGTATTAATAAAAAAAAGAAATGCCAATTACAACCACTCTTGTTTGTACATGAAATTTTAAAACATTTCATGATTCACACACAACACCAAATGCTCTGAGGAAAGCCTGCAAAGAGCAGAGCTGAGCTACGGGGTAAAATCTGCTGCCTATTTATTTTGATGGGGAAAAATAATGTGGCTTCAAGTAGGTAAATATGGCGATTGTCTTCATTAAAATATAAATCTCCAGCACTCCGGTGTGCTTTAACAAATCCTGGTATGGTGATTTCTCTGCGTGGTTCGGGCTGGGGGAGGGGAGAGATCTGAATTATGCTGCTCTTCCGACAGTCTCCATGTACCAGTAGCAGATAACTATAAGGATGTAATTTTCATTTCATTTTAAACATTGGCATTTTCTCTTAGACAACTGCATGAACCTATACAGAAATGCATCCTTTCTGTAAGTAAAAGTGGAGACTAGCGATGGAGGAACTGGGTTTGGGTCTGGTGCTATGTAAATCAACATTCACCGCTGGGTCCCTAGGTGCCCCTGTACGGATGATCTTCAGTATCCTTTCCTTCCTTAACGTCTCCAAGTAGTTCTGTACTTTGGTGCAGGTCGTTTTACACTACGCCAAGCTACCTCTGGAAAGCGCTGTCTAGTCTCCAGGGCGCTTTTCTTCAGCCTGTGTTAAAAAACCCTCCAGAAACACAGAAATCCTAGGAAGACTGATGATGGGGAGCGAGAGTGCTAGCGGATGTCGGGCAGGGAGATGGGCTGGGCTGGATGGCCCTTTTTCTGGACAGAACCTACTGGGATGCAGAAACGACTCCCCCACACCAAGTTGAACTTTGGGCATCCATAAACATGGCACCTTCCCGGGGGCAAGGGCTCATCCGACTGTGTGTCAGGACGCCGCCGGCGACCAGACCCAAAACGAGATCTAGGTTGCATTTCACATGGCTGTCCTCCCCTCCCGGAGCACACTCAGGCGCGCACGCACACTGACAGCCACAACTGCGGAGATCGTAAATTCACCCCCAAGGGCTCCCGGACCGTCCCCGCCCGCACTGGCCGGCCAGGGTCCCGGTGTCCGCGCAGCCCCGCCGCCCTGAGGACCCGCATTGCGCCCGCCCTCCGTGGTGCCAGCAGGGCGCTTACTTTCCGAGCTCCTCGAAGAGCTGATACTCGTCGGTGAACCTAGTGCAGGTGGCCGTGGAAGCCATGGCGGGCGCGGCGAGTAGGCGGCTTCCCGGCCCGAGCCTCGCGGTCCCCCGGAGCCGCCCTCACTTTCCCGTCCGAGCTCGCGGGGAGCGGCGCGCAGGGGCGGGGCGCAGGGGGCCGGGACTGGACCTGGGCGCGCAGCCTGGGGTCCGACGCTCGCCTGGCCGGGTCAGCCCCGTCCGCAAGCGAAGGGCCGGGAGAGGACGGAAGACCAAGCACACGGCGGGTGGACGGGGCACGGGAGCCAGGCGCACGGAGACGGCTCTCCCCGCGGGCAGACGCGGCGGGCTGCGCGGAGCTCCCCCCGGAACGCCGGGCTGGGTGGGAACCGGCGAGAGTGCGCGCGGGGTTGGGGTGAGCCGGGCTGGCTGCGCTCCTCCCAGCTCCTCCCCTGCCCGCCCGGCGTCCCCCCCCCTTCCGCCACTCTCCGCCCTCGGAGCCCCCGCCTCCTGCCCCACTCCTCCCTCCCGCGACTCTGGCGCGGCCCGCCCTCCGCAGCAGCCTGGCCACGGAGCTGGAGGTAGAGCGGGACGCGCGGGCTCGGCGTGCAGCAGACTCGGTAGAGGGTCGGTAAAGCCCCGAGCAACCGAGGGAGCGCGAATACGCACGGCATCCCACGGAAGGCTCGGCCGGGGCACCTGAGCGGCCACGGTGCACGGAAGCCGAATAAGGGATGCCACCGACTCTGCAGGGCCGGATGTGGGCACCCGACTGCCCCGGTCCAGCCGACTTCCCCGGTCCAGGGTCCCACTTCTGGGCAAGTGGGCAGCCGACTGCCCAGGTCCAGTGTCCCAGCTCGAGGGAGGAGGGGCACCGAACTGAACCGGTCCAGGGTGCCAGCTCGGGGCAGGTGGGCAGCCGACTTCCCTGGTCTAGGGTCCCAGCTCCGGGCATGTGGGCACCCGACTGCCCCGGTCCAGCCGACTTCCCCGGTCCAGGGTCCCAGCTTTGGGCAGGTGGGCAGCCGACTGCCCCGGTCCAGGGTCCCAGGTCGGGGAGGTGGGCACCCTACTGCCCCGGTCCAGGGTCCCAACTCGGGGCGCACGCCCAGGCGCAGTACCCCACGCCACCTTCACCGCGCCGAATGCCCTTCTGTTAGGGGCCGGGGCACGTTTCCCTTCGGATACATCCTCAGCCCTCCTCCCTTTTCCCGCCTGGGGTGACTGCCCTACGCCTTGGCTTGGCTGCAAATCCCAGCCACTGCCACACCTTCCCTTCTCCCCAACAACCTCAGTAAGTTCTGATAATAACGGGTTCTCGCGAGATGTGCCATTGTGGCTGCGGCCAGAGTAGGAAGAGTGCCCGTGTGTCACGTGACCCAGTGGCTGACGTCACTCGCATCACGTGAGCACTCTAGCTTGGTTAGCTTTGCAAAAAGAAAAAGGGAGAGGAGAGGTCTTGAGTAGTTTGTTTCCATGAGGTTCCTGCCAGGTAGGGGACTAAGTGCGCGCCATCCATATTCCATCTGGAAGACCATTTAACAGTTCCAGGATGTGTCTGCTCTTAGCCTATCTGGAACTGTTGCTTAAATTGGAGGAAAAAAATAGCATTTAAGATAACTTGTTACTGATTGCTAAGATAGTTTCTGGGCCTTCTTTCCAGTTCTGGGTCTTCAGTAAACTATGTAATTGCAAAGTTGCAGGCAGACAAAAAAGCATCATGGTGTCTTTCAGATTACTGTTTCTATAGCAAGGAACATAAAGACCTTGCAGTCCTGTCACTAATTTGCCCAGGCTTAGAATTCCATCAGGTATTAAATTTTCACTGCAGGGTGACAAAAGATGACTTTGAGGCGTTGTTGCTGTTCCAAGAAGCTGTTCATACCTTGCCCACTGTCACACATCATCTTCATTCTTTTACTTCCGGTTCTGCCAACAACTGACCTTTTAATTGAAGTACCCAAGATAGAAGGTTTTTAAAGCTTTTTGTTGTACATCTTGCAAATATTGCCCACAGTCCAAGTGTCTCTCCCACACTCCACACCACCAGGAAAGATTTTCGTGGTAAATCATCATTCAATGTCTGCATTCTTAAGGCCATGAAAATATTATTTATTGGTCTGTTTTACTATCATTTTTTTTACTTGCTCTGTTTTGCTTGGATCTATTGCTAATTAATTCCCACAACTTAGACTAGATTCCTAGTTTAATTCTCGACAGTGTCAGGCACATTGGAACATAAATATGTTGAATTTTTTTCTTCCATTGTTCCTACCTGTTGAGTGCAGTATCCTCTGCTGCTGCTTAGTAATTCATTGGGTTTTTTTTAATTATTTTTTATTTTTTACTTTTTATTTGGCCTTTTTGAGACAAGGTCTCCCTGAAGCCCCAGCTAGCCTGGAACTTACTAGGTAGACCAGGCTGACCTTGAACTCACAGAGATCCACCTGCCTCTACCTCCCAAGTGCTGGGATTAAAGTCGTGCACCACCACATCCGGCTGATTTTTTAAATATAGTTTTGAGTCCTTGATTTTTACAAATCTTGTCTTTCAGATTTATAAATTTGAACAATTTTTATAACAAAATTGAAGGTTGTGTGTATCTTGATTCTCAGCCATAAAAAAACAAGAATCCCTTGGTGTAAACGTAGTAAAATAAAAGAAAAGATGATACCAAAAAATACAGGGGAGAAACATAGCATTTAGGTATTAATAGTTGGGCTATGTTGAAAAAAATTATTTGGTTTTGCCTAAACAGTTTTAATGGATAGCTTAAATATATGACTGCAGGTTATAATGGAAAAATTTACCATTCTTCCCTGAATCTATAAGTGAAACAGAAAAATGAAATTAAAACAATAAATAAGGATCAAATTTTACAACCAAGAAGAAAATTATTTCTTAAACACTGAAGCAATTAAGTCTACATAATTATGGTATTTATCTCAATTATTTAAAATAACAATAATTGGTGTCAGGGATTTAGCTCAGTGGTAGAACACTTGTCTAAGCAAGCACAAGGCCTTGGGTTTGGCCCTCAGCTCTGGAAAAAAGTAATTGTATGTGGTTACTATAATTGTTCAGTACAATAAATGAAACAACTGCATTTGATCTTGGTTTTAGTAGACAGTGAACTTGTATATTTGTATACAAACAATGTTTGATTCACATTTACTCTGTTATTTAATCTCTATTATGGGCTAATTAACATATTTCTTTTATTTATACATGTACAGTAATTTCTGAAATTTGAACCTCCTTAAGACAGTAATCAGATTGAAGATTTTATTTAATTTTTTACTTACATGATTGTTTTGCCTCCACAGTACATAGGACTGTCCTCTAATAGTCCATGGACAGATGGCGTCTTCCCAAGCTTGCCTGTACCCACTTGCCTAGGATCATCACAACTCTTTGTTGACTGTTACACACCCCCAACCAGCCAGTAGGCCTTAGTTGCATGAGGAGGAGATGCTAAGGGTATATAAACTGAGGAAGCCTGGGGAGGTCTCTCACCGTTTTGTGTGACTGTGTCGGGAAGACATAATCCATGTTTGAATGAAGACTTTCCAATGTTGCCTTAGAGGGAAGCACCCACACTCTGTAAGTAAACTCTCACCCATTGCTCTGTAAGTAAACCCAATAAATTCACTGGTTTCCCAGACTGTAGTCTGGTGAAATCAGATCTCAGTTTGTTGTAGGGACAAAGGGAGAAAAGGGCCAGATGTCGTTTGGCCTCCTAGAAGGAATTTTAGCTACACTGAACATATGTATGTACACCATATGCTTGCGGTGCATATGGAGGCCAGAAGAGGGTGTGAGATCCATTGTAACTGGAGGTAGTTGTGACCCACCTTGTGGGTTCTTGGAATCAAGCCTGGTCCTCAGAAAGAGCAGCAAGGGCTCTTAACAGCTAAGCCATCTCTCCAGCCAGCAGATTGGAGTTATTTTTTTAATTCTACCTCAGCACTTCTAGGAATAGCTACAAAACAGAATTAAGGCTTTTTAATGATATATACTTATAAACAGAATAATGCTAGACATTACTCTTCAATTTAGTGTCAGATGTATTTACATTTCATCAAACATGCTCAGCTGACCATTTCCATGAACAAAAGAGTGGAGGAGCCGGGCGTGGTGGCACACACCTTTAATCCCAGCACTTGGGAGGCAGAGGCAGGTGGATCTTTGTGAGTTCAAAGCCAGCCTGGTCTACATAGTGAGTTCCAGGACAGCTGGGGCTACAGGGAGACCCTGTCTCAAAAAAAGACCAAAAAAAAAAAAAAAAAGAGTGGAGGAGAGTAAAAAGAGGGAGGTGTTGATTCAGGGGAGAAACAGTGTCCCCTAGAGGGTTGTTAGTGTCATTCATAAAAGAATTTAAGAATGGACTCAAACTGGAACTTTAGGACAATTTTATTAGAATTTAAAGAAAAATCCTCACTGCAGGCAAACTGGGAATCTTGACAGTTGCCTTGAGGAGGAGAACAGAGGGGAGAAGGAAAGAAAGCCATGAAGTCATGCAGGTTTAGAGCCTGCGTCCGGGGGGCGGGGGGGGGGAGTGTTAGACAGTTAAAGGACTAGATGCCACATGATGGGGAGAAGGAAGCTTTAGAGAAAAGGTAAAGAAGCCTAAAATGGTGGGGCAGCCCAAGCATTAGGAAAAACCTGCTTAGAAAAGGGACACAAAGAGAGAGCTTTCACTTTTCTGAAGAATTCAGAAAAACAGGCAGGACTTATGGATAGCCACATCTGTGACCCAGATCCACAAGAGAGGCAGAGATCCTGAACAAGAAAAGTTCACCATCTCATCAACACACTAGGTACTCTGCCCATCGCTTTAGCATAACTTAAGGTGCACCCACCTTCCTAGGGGTGGTTCTATGACCAAGTGATTGACCAGTGAGACTGGAAAGGTGGGTCTTCAGACAGGCAGACTAGAGATTTGCTTTGATTAGATTAGGGTTTTTTTTTTTTTTTTTGAGATGGTCTCCCTGTAGCCCCAGCTGGCCTGGAACTCACTATGTAGACCAGGCTGGCTTTGAACTCCCAGAGGTCTGCCTGTCTGCCTCCTGAGTGCTGTGATTAAAGCATGCACTACCACACCTGGAGAAATTTTATTTTTTGACCAGTTAATCTTACCTTTTTGCTACCTTAGCAGTGTTAAAGAAAACTTATTTGTAAAACTTGTTTAAGATAGTAAGACAGATTTTATTCAAATTGATGATGATGGGGAACCACTGCAGCCCAGTCTTGAAGTTAGGGAGGAAGCTTGCACTCAACTCTGACTCTAAAAAAGACACGCAGAGATTTACAACATGGTGGGGGTCAGTGGGTGTAAACTTACTGTTTTCTTCCTCTCTTTCACTTGGCTACTTGGAATTAAACATCACAACACTTTAGTAGTCTCACACAGAAGGACAAGTTTGTAATACTAAGAA